AGTGGGATTTGCAAGTATCTATTTTGTGCAGACCATGCCTCTATCCAGCTGACAGGGAAGAAATGAGTAACAGAACATTGTATAATATAAAAGTAATTTACATTTGACTTTAAAAAAATAACTGTGATAAAATTTACCATTTTAATCATTTTTAAATTTACCATTCAGTGCTATTAAGCACATTCACGTTCTTGGGCACATGTCACCAGCATCCATCTCTAGAACTCTTCATGATGTTGGACTTCAAAATACATTTATTCATTCATTCAGTAATACCTGTTCAAAGTGTAGCTGAGCTTCTGCTGTGAACCAGACGCTGTGCTGGACAAAGCCTGGCCCAGTCTGCATTCTCAGATTCCCCCCAAGTCTAACCAGCCCAGCCTGGTGGGCCCTATTCCTTGGGGTTTGGGCCCCCAAACCCCAAAAGTTTAGAGAAAGTGCAGGCCAGGGTCTGGGGAGTTGTACGGTTGGAGAGCAGGCCATGCACCATCAAGGATCATCCTTCACGTTGTGTAGTGGAAAGCGGTCACACAAAACTGGTATTTGCAGCCCCATTTTGCCGCATTTGTTGTGTAGATTTAGATATGTGTCCTAGCCCCAAGACTTCGTTTGTAAAATGGAAATAATTTTTACTTTATTCTGTTGAGGACATGCAAGATAATACAGGTATGGTAGAAGAATTAAAAATACTACTGACAAGAAAAATAAATATTTATAGGGGTGCCTGGGTGGCTCAATCAGTTGAGTGCCCGACTTGGTTTCAGCTCAGGTCATGATCTCGGGGTTGTGATTTTGAGCCCCGAGTCAGGGTCCACCTTCAATGGGGAGTCTACGTAAGATTCTCTCTCCCTTTGCCCCTCCCCCTTCTTGCGCACACATGCACGCTCGCTCTCTCTCAAATAAATCTTTATAAAAATAAATGAATAGATACAAAAATACATAAATAAATATTTATAATTCTCCTACCATCTTTATGAAAGGGAGACTTTGAAACAGAAGGTGCCTTCCTTTGCTGACCTTTAGCATGTTGAAGTGTAGGATAGTATTGAGGGATGGTTGTGTGTGTGTACAAGTGTGTGCTCATGTTCACCTGTGCATGTGTGTATACAAACACATACGAGTGTGCGCGCATGTGTATTAGGAAGGAGGAGGGGAAGATGGAAACTAAATTACTCAGAGAGCGAGGAGAAAATGAGGCCCCAGGGAGGCTCCGGGGACAGGAGACCACAGTCCAGGGAGATAGAGTCCTTGAGGGGAAAGAGGATGGAGCTGATGAGTCTCTTTTTTCTCGCTATGCACTATATGATAAAAAACTTCACTTCTTTTCTCTCTGTGATAACTTCAGTCCACATTGCTGAGCAATACTTGAATTTTCTCTTTATTTTTGAGAATATAGGCCAGGGGAGTGATGTGGAAAAATTGTAGCACTAAATTCTATTGCATTATTGGCTCCTGAAAGGACCAGGTGGCTCACTAAAAGAGCTATAAATAAAGTATCTTATACATCATAAACACACACATTGCCAGCCAGTGTGTGTGTGTGTGTGTGTGTGTATGTGTGTGACAGAAAATTGTTCTGGAGTGCTACATATATGTGTTGCATGCAGAGGTCTCAGGCTGAAAAGCATCATTCTTATTGCCAGAACTCTGAGAATAGACGCCAGACAAAGCCTGCAGACTTGAAACCTTTGAGAAAACGGAAACCCAGGTAAAGGGAGGGAGAGAAAAGACTAGTGGCAACACTGGGGAGACCTGGCCTGGGCGAGCATGTAGACCCCTGCCAAACAAGCCAGAAACCTCATTCTAAGAGGAGGACCAGGAATAATACCTTCTCTAAAAACATCAGAAACATTTCTCTTTCCAAAGACAAGGTGTGTGGAGGAAATCTTCAGACACCTGGGGCCACGGGTTTGGATGGCAGAGGGGGGTGGTTCCAGCCACATACAGGTGAGTGTGCAAGGGCCCCAGTGTGCACTGGCCCCACTCTCTCCAAAGGCAAGTGCAGGCCCCTGTCAGCTGAGGGCTGAAAGTTTGTTCCTAGACCTTTTCCAGACATCTCTTCTTATAAAACAAGTCCTTGATAATGAGGCCAGCATGCCACTCTGCAGGATATAATTCCATCGGAGGTCTGGATGTGGTTTCCAGCCAATATGGTGTGCTCTTCCCCTTAGATCCCATAGAAGAACCATCCTGACCCTAGAGTTTCACACACATAAAGGAAATTGACTAGTTCTCTTTTTATGGAACATGAACTTTCCAGTTTTAGAGCTTCAGGGTTTTCTTCGGTTCATTCCACCAACTGTTAAAAATTCCAGATGAGAGGTAATAATACTACCTCTGTTAACATATTTAAGCACTATATTCCCTCGTAATGAAGGCAGGGATCAGAGGCAGAGAGAGGATGAGGAGAAAAGGGGAAGAAACACAAATTTCTTCCTTTCTACTAGATTTAATGAAACAGACTAAAGAAACTCTCTGAAGCCTTCAGGGATGACGTATTTCCAGGTGTAAGGTACATAGGAATTTTAAAATATTTTCTGATGGACCTTCCCCTACCATGAAACTAATTTTCCTTCTGTGCCATGTGCTGTTGTGACCCCTAGAGCAGGGTCCAGATGTGCGTGGCCTCCAGAAGGAAGTGGAATATAAGGGAGCCTCCTGTCACACAGGAAAAAGGGACACTGCCTTTTCTGACCCAGTGGAAAGTGGTGAGGGGAGAGGAAGCAAAGATGTCAGGTGCTGATGTTGTAATTCTCCACCCCCTCCAACGCATACAGTCTTTCAGGGTCAAATCTGGGTGGTGAGGGAAATCTAGAGCTCCAGGACCTAGACTCAGAAGAGGTAGGTGTCCCTGTGTCCTCCTGGGTAATAGGGGAGTTCCAGGCTCTGCAACTGGAGGCAGTGGTGGGGAGCAGTTCAGCTAGAGGCATCTCCAAAGACCCAGTGAAACAGGTCAGCAGAAGCAGATTGGTACGGGGCCAGCCCAGGCCACCACTCTACAGCAGAGGCCAACAAGCATCTGGGGACAACATAACCAACTTGATCTGCTCCCCTGTCACCAAGGTGCCATCTGTATGGGCTAGTGTGGGAGTAAAGAAATCTTAGGGGTGCCTGGATGGCTCAGTCAGGGAGTCTGCTTCTCCCTCTCCCTCTGTTCCTCCCTTCTACCCCACTCATGTTCTCTCTCTCTCTCTCTCAAATAAATAAATAAAATCTTTAAAAAAAAAATGAGTCATTAAAGAAGCAATGGTTTGTTTTGAACTGTGCCTGCTAAGTACTAAGACTACTTCTCTGCTTTAAGGAATATTTTGATGGAACATTTGAAAAGCACTTATTTAAATTAAAATAGTTTGTGGCACTTTACAAATATGATAAGAAAATTGCTCAAAAAAATAAAATAAATACTATCTCCTGGTTAAATTTAATTTTAGCCAAAAGCGAAATGTTTTCATTGCAGTATTTGGAGATCATCTGTTATATGCTAAGCACATAATAATTCATCTATATATAGAACTCAGTTGTTGATAAATTTCTGGTTCAGTATATAACTGAAAACCAATATGTAAAGATAAGCACAAATTAAACTCCTTTTATGTTTAGAAGAGGTCCTTAGCAATTCACCTGAAATAGGTTTACTTTTACTTTACAAACAATTCTAGTTAAGGTTGGCTGTATGGGTTCCTTACCCAAAGCAATAACCAGTGAATTAGAGGGGAAGCCTCATTCTGGGAAATTAAGGAAAATTGATGGTACTGTTAACAAAATAACACACACACACACACACACATACACACACACACAACACACACACGAAGTTTAAAAAGTACTTCTGACCACCTCCTATACACCAGACATGATATCATATAATTATCACAGTCATGGATGTCACCACCCTCTTTTTATGGACAGGATCAGAGAGGTTGAAAAGATTGGGATTCAAAACAAACCAAGCTCCAAAGCTTGTGATCTTTCTCTTAGACAAAACTCAGTATAGTTCTTTAGTAAAGCAAGTGAGGGGTATAAATGAATTTAGGTTACTTTGTTTTGTTTTGTTTTGTTTTGAGAGAGAGAGAAAGTGAGTAGGGTAGGGGGAGAGAGAAAATCTTAAGCAGGCTCCACATTCAACACAGAGCCTGATGCAGGACTCGATCTCATGACCCTAAGATCATGACTGAGCTGAAATCAAGAGTCCATCGCTTAACCAACTGAGACACCTAAGTGCATTGAGTTTAGAGACTTTCTTTTTTTTTAATTTCCAATACCAAAGAGGTTTTATTCCATGAAGGGTCGAACTTGAGTTATGTGTTAAACTTGGCTTTCCAGAATAACTCATCAGCCAAAAATTCATTCCATGGTCCAGGCACACAGCTAAATCCAGAACAGCCATAATAGTGGGAGATTTTTATTTCACATATTCATTTTTCTTCCTATGTGTAAAGGGTATAATTTATCTTTCTAAGATTCGAATTACTCTTTTACTTGTGGGTACCACTTAAATTCCCTTCTTTAAATAAAATGGACTTTTATTTGTTTTATTTCCAAGGAGTATATATTGATTCTGCACGTACACTTTTCTCTGGCTTGCTACTCTAGTTTAACCTGTTCCTCTCTCTCTTGCAGGATTCATTCTTGTAGGGTTCTCATGAAGATCACGTGAATGAGTGCTCAGAAAGAACTTAAAACAGCTCTTGGCAATTAATACATGACCTTCAGGGTTTTTCCTTTTATGGAAACTCCTACAATTGTGAGTACCCAATTATGATGGCTTATTGTTAATAATGTGTTAATAGGACTTATAAAAGAACACATTTTGCTCTTCCATTATTACCCAATACCCAGCATAGAATAAAATAAGGCAAAATAGAAGTCCAAATTTTATTAGAGAATATATCTAAAATACAGTATTTATTAAGTTATGATATATTATTTGAATGGAAATATACTCTGTATTACAACTATAATTATAATAATTTTACAGATAATACTTCATTTACATCTCTGTAATTCAAAAGTCACTAAATTACAATATAATTCATTTTCCAGATAACATTGCTACAAATATATAAGAATTTAAAATTTTTTTCTTGAATATAGTATCTCGGAATCATAAACATTTATTTCATCTGATTTACATTACATAGAATCATGACTCTTTCACCTGATTTACATTACACAGCTCAATGGATTGGATTTGCACTCAATCATTCTACTTTCCTATGTTTTTTTTTGTTTGTTTGTTTGTTTGTTTTCTTTTTTTGTTTGTTTGGTTTTTTTTTATAAACATATAATATATTTTTATCCCCAGGGGTACAGGTCTGTGAATCGCCAGGTTTACACACTTCACAGCACTCACCATAGCACATACCCTCCCCAATGTTTTAAAGTTAGCATTTTTGTGAACAATTGTCCGTGCTCATCACCCCATGTGCTACGAACAAAGTCAAGATGCTTTGTTCTCTTATTCCTTATATTATATTCTCTCCTACAGAAAGGCTATCACCAGAACCAAAGCACCAGTCACAGCAATTCGGTCAAGCACGACAACTGGTCAAGTTCTTCACATTTTACTAATGAGGACAACAGGTGAGAGATAAGGATCTAGAAAATGAGACACAAAGCAGCCAAGGTCCGATTCACCAAGGTAGATTTGTGCTTAGCTAATATCCCGAATATCTACTATCTGGATGTGGGCTCTGGGGCCATCTTATTTGAAGGACGCATTAATCTGTCTGTTGTGCAGTGGCTGAGCTGGGCGCCAATTGTCCACCATCAGTTCTTCAGGCTCGCCCTCCTTATTGAAATTAAGCTTACGGAATTTCATCATCTAAAAGGCAAAATACAAGATAAAAAATTTTAAAATACAAGTTTCCCAATAGTATTCATTTATGTGCTTATTCTCCCATATTCACCAATAGTCACCATACTATGTATGTATCAAAATTCAAAGTTCACTTTGGTTCCCAATAAATATACAATCACATAAACATTATATATGTATGCTTTTAGATGAAAAGTCAGTTTCTGGAAAATACACACAAGATTGTTGGTGTCGTTTAGAAGGAAATTTTCAGTGGGCTTATTTTTTCCCCTCTTAATTTTAAAATCAACCATCAAAAGTCTATAAAACACTTCTGAGATGTAAAATAATAATAAAAATTCTAGATCCAAATTATAGAGTTTTGTTTTCTGCCCCAGGAAGATAAACTACAGCATCTGTACTATTGGATAAAGTGGTCCAGGATCCAAAAGCCCCAGGAGATAAGTGACTGGTGCGCATCTCTGCTTTAATGTACAGAAACACATAAATGAATTTGCCCAAACTGGGATTTTGAATCCTTGACATTCGCTGATTTTTATTCCCCTTTAACCTCGCTTTAGTTCCCTGGCCCAGTGATGGGACACAGCCCTTACTGATGGGACACAGTCTCCTACTTCTTTGAGGTTGTTTTTACAAAGTGGTACGTCCCTCTGCCTTCGCAAGTCTTGATCTAAATGAAGAAGGGTGATTTGGGCAGTAATGAAGCAACCCACAAATCAACAGCCTTTCACCTGATCTCTTTGGTCCCGTAATATTCCCTCAGTCTCACCCCTTGAAGTCAAATTCAATGTCAGTCAGTTACTGTAACATTAGTTAAATTATCCAGGATCCAAGTTCTTGTGGACCCTACAGAAGATTGTCCGTTTTCTACATTTCAACTGTGGGGGGAATAGAGACAGTCTATGGGTACTATCGGTGACCCAGAAGCTGCATTGATAACTTGAACCTCATAAGCTATATTGTATGGGAAAGGTAAGAATCTGTGGTCTGGGCTTTAGAGCAACCTGGAGTGAGTTTTGATAGATAGTTTTCTCCAAGGGATGGCTTTTCCTTTTGTCAGAATTCAGAAATGTATTCTGATAGAAATAATGAGGAAGTGGAGATGCAACATGGCGGGGGGGGGGGGCGGGTAAGGGGGGAGGAGAAGAATAAAAGAAACAAGATGGGATTGGGAGGGAGACAAACCATAAGTGACTCTTAATCTCACAAAACAAACTGAGGGGTGCTGGGGGGAGGGGGGTGGGGAGAGGGGGGTGGGGTTATGGACATTGGGGAGGGTATGTGCTATGGTGAGTGCTGTGAAGTGGGTAAACCTGGCGATTCACAGACCTGTACCCCTGGGGATAAAAATACATTAAATGTTTATAAAAAATAAAAATAAATTAAAAAATAAAATTTAAAAAAAATTGGAAAAAAAAAAAGGAAAGAAAACTGGGTAAGCTCTCACGTGAGTGAGCTGTTACCTGTGAGTTACCACTGATATCTATGGAACCTTGAATATGAAATCTCATTGTCCTGGGCCTTGATTTCCTTGTAGCATTTATATAAAAGCATTTATTAGGTGACAGACACCTTTCTCACTTAATCCTCATGATTATCCAGTTGTACAGAGCAAACAAGCTGCCTAAAGTTATGGCTAATCCCAGCAAATACTTCTTGAATGCTGTTTATCTGCTAAGCACTGTTATGGACACTAGTTCCACATCTAGAAGCAGGAGCAGGAGGATTCAACCCCAGGTCTGTCCGAATCCAAAACCCAAGCTCCTCTGCCTGGACGAAGGGCTCTACCTCACTTGAGAAAACCGACCTGTTCACTGCTAATGCTGATGGGCTCCTTGAGCACAATCCAGGTCACGCATTCCAGAAGGGGAGGAGTGGTCAGTGAGCCTGGGTAGGTCCAGTAGTCCAAACTTCCAGGAAGGAGGCCACGAGGGTCAAAGTTAGTGAAGTCAGCACTCTTACCCTGGAACAAGGCAAACACACAGGTTACAAATGCCACATGATCAGAGTGGGAGGAAGGCAGGAGATTAGGAAACAGATATTCCCCTCTGGTTGCCAAAACTTTTTTTTTTTTTTTTTTTTTTTTTAAGAGGTCCCATGTTGACCAGAAAACAAAGTAAAAAAGAAATTAAGAGAGATATATAGATGAGCAGGAAATATAGATGGAAATATAGATGAGCAGGCAAGAGAGCCTGACTCTCTAATTTTCTCATGTCCAATTCTCATTTTGTCCTCTCAAATCATCCCTTATAATTTCCATTGTTATTAACTGATCACATCCAGCATTTAAAACAAAACTGCTGCCACTGAAATAATGCAATTTTAGGCCTCAGTAACAAAAATATAGTATCTTTGATAAGGAGGTAATTGTCTTGTTATTCTATCTGATCACCAGATCAGGACTAAAGAACCCCTTTCCTTTCTGGACACTACACTTTCAAAGCATTAGATGTACAAGGCAGAGAGCTACAAGTAGAGTGACAAGGTTGTTACAAACAGAGAAAATTGCTGTATGGGAATAGTTAAAGGGCACTAAAGATAACTAGCCTGAGGGTAAGTAAAATGCTATTAGAGAATGGGGTCAAAAGAAAGAAGGACCATGTTTTTTACTTTGTTTCATTTTGTTTTACTGAGGTATAATTAACACATAATATTATATTACCTTCAAGGTGCCCAACATAATGATTTGATATTTACGTATATTGTAAAATGATCACCACAATAAGTCTACTTGTTAACATGTAACAGTCTGTTACTAAGTTACAGCCCAGTTACTAATAATTTTTTTCTCTTATGATGAGGACTTCGAAAATCTGCTCTTAAAAAAAAAAAGTCTACTCTTAGCAACTTTCTAATATACAATGCAATATTATTAATAGTCACCATGCTGTACATTATATCCCCATGACTTATTTATTTATTATTATTTTTAAAGATTTTATTTATTTATTTAAAGAGAGTGAGAGGGAGAAAGCACGAGAAGGTTAGGGTCAAAGAGTGAAGCAAACTCCCCACAGAGTGGGGAGCTGCCGTGGGACTTGATCCCAGGACTCCAGGATCATGACCTGAGCTAAAGATAGAAGCTTAACTGACTGAGCCACTTAGGTGCCTGAGTTACTTATTTCATAACTGGAACTTTGTACCCTTTGACCCCCTTCACTCACCTCCCCCCACCTCTGATAACCACCAATCTGTTTTCTGTATCTAGAGCTCACTTTTTTGTGTTTGTGTTTTTGTTGTCTGTTTTTTAGATTCCACGTATAAGTGAGATCATATGGTATTTGTCTTTTTCTGTCTGACTTATGTCACTTAGCATAATGGCCTTAAGGTCCACCAACATAGTAATCAAATGGCAAGATTTCCTTCTTTTTTATGACTGGACAATATTCTATTGTGTATATATAATATATTATATATAATTATATATATTATTATATCATAATATTATAACATATTGTATATAATATATAATTATATTATTATAATATTATTATATATTATTATATTATATATATATAATATGCTACATAAATAGTTATATTATATATAGCACATTTCTTTATCCAGTCATCCAGTTTGGACAGTTAGACTATTTCTGGATCTTGGCTATTGTAAATAATGCTACAATGAACATGAAGGTACATATATCTTTTTAAATAAGCACTTTAAATCAGGTTTATTCCACATAATCAATCCAAAGGGGTCAGCCAGGAGTAATAAGGGAGCCTTTCAAAAGATAAATGTGGCTTCAGTTTGAGGATAAGCTTTATAAAGCCAGAGCTGTGCTTGGTGATCGTAAGTAGCAGATGTTCAATGACCTAAACGTGGCTCTGCCATAGAGAGAATTCAAACATGGGATGGTTGTTCTTCATGGTCACCAATGTCTCTCCTACATTAACCAGGTAACCAGCACAGAGCGAATACTCCACGAATATCTGCTGCATGAATGAAGGAATAATTTGACCCGATGATCTTTCAGTTTCCTTGTAGTCATGAGAATTCTCTGACTCTTGTAATATGAGTGTTCAAATGATAGGGAAGCAAGACTAAATAAATGCAAGTCTTAAAATGATACTAGCATTAGGCTCAACTTTCAGATAAAGAAAAGTTAAATGAATAGATAAGCAACATTTTACCTCTGTTAACTCCTTATTGAAACACCACATGTCAAAGCAAGACTATTTACTTTGATCCAAAAAGTTTCCTAAAACCAATGGGATATTAAAAAATAATAATAAAAAATTTAAAAAAGTACTCTATTGAGGTGGCGAAAAATTCAACTGTACCTTTGTCTTTATGGAATCCAGGGCATCGAGGACTCTTTGTAGGCCTGGCCTGGCATCGCCAATCTATCGAAAGACACAACATACAAGGTACTGGAATCCTGTTGGTACTACATCAGTGTTGATTTGAGCAGCTCTACCATAAAATTTTTCCAAGTAGTGCACCAAAGTCTCCCACTTGCTACATGCCACCAAATCATCTTACTCTGACTACATGGGCACCATGAACTTCCCCACTTTCACCGACAACTTCCCTCCGAGTTCTGCCCCCCCACCCCACTCCATAGTTCTCCTGAATCTACCCCCTAAAAATCACCAGTGACCTCTAACCGACCTCCAACTGCCAAAACAAAGAACACTGTTCAGTGCTTACCTTCGTTTTGCAGGATTTTATACTATTGACTTCTCTCCTTTCTGAAATTCTCTCCTCCTTTGGCTTTCCCTCTGCTCTCCAACTTCGTCAATCTCCCTTGACTCTTGTATTCCTTTTTAGCCATTTCATTAGCATCTTTCCACTGCCTTAAATGTCTTACATTTTGCAGTTTCTTGGGACTGCATGCTCAGCAGCTTTACCATCTCCCTTTTCAGGCTTTTCTTGGATGATTTCATACTCATGTGTAGCTCCCACCTGACATATGATGTCAGGCTCCATGAATCTCCAGCCTAGACCTATCTCCACTTGTTTTATAACTGTCTGGAGGGCAGCTCAACCTGTAAGTCCCACTGGTGCCTGAAATTCTCCAATACTGGGTCGCTGCCCTTGAGCCCTCCAAAACTTGATCTTACTTTAGCAGTCTGTCATGAAACAGTACTATCTAGTTAGGGACGAATCTTAAAACAAAAACCGGTAGTCACCTGAAGTATACCTCTTTTTCCTTTCACCTTTCCCATGTATACACCCTTCACATTTACATATAAATAGCACCTCATGAATACCTCTCAGATTGTTTCTCCACTGCTACTAGCTACTGTGGTGGGGGGTGGGGGGCGTGGAGGGGGAACAGGTGCCGAAAATATTTCAGAGCCAAAGGCATTTCCGAGGCTCTTTGTAGGATGTCCTGTTTACTCTGAACGTTCTGTTTGCTTAATCTTTCTAAAAAAACAGGGAAAACAAGAACTGGGCCATCAACTAACCTGCAAAAAAATACCCAAAACAGCCAGTCCATCAGGTTGCTGCACAGCTTTTCCAAAATCCCCATATTTGGTGTTCCAGTGAACCAAGTGAAGCTAAAGCAGTGGGAGACAAAACCACAATGAATGAGACACATAATAAATCCTACAGGTTTCATCCAGTGATCTTTGCCTCTTAGCTAGAGGTTACTAAAGAAAGTAAACATGTGGATAACTTAAAAAATAAACTTTTCTTTCATTTTAATTCTAATTATTCACTATTTGACATAACAGCAAATGACTTCATCAACTCTAAGACAAAGAGTTACAGGTTCTTGTGGGAAGACACAAAGCTTATTTCTAGATTTATATTAAAACGGGATCCTCCAATTTGAATTTATTTTATTTTTTGCAAATGATGTTCTTGGAAGTAGTAGAGAATGTTTTGCAGCATTCATTGTAATATCACAAATAAAAGTTATAAGAAGCAAATATGAAGGTCCTTTAAAAAAAAAGTTCATTTAGATTGAGTCAAATTTACAAAATTAAGGTTTTGAAATTAATGCTGAATATCAATTTACATCTTTCCCTGGAAAGCAAAAAAGCGTCTCTTACCTCTGCAGCATATTTCTTTTTATCCACAGTGTGCTCAGAACCTTGCCCATCAGATGAACCCCAGTGAAAGTGAAACTGAATCAATCTGTAAGTGCCAGTGAGGGGTCCTCCTTTCAGCACTAAAATTTAAAATATATATATATATATATAAAATATATGTATATGTATACTATATATGTGCATATGTGTGTGTTTATATGTATATGAATGTATATACATACACACAATCATGTGTATACACATATACACATACATATGCACATGAAACACACACAGTATTAAATATTACAGTCTAATTTAACCCTGTTTCATAGTTCTAAATTTATGCCTGTAGCAACATTTTCGCTCGGGAAAATTAAGTCCAGACTCAAGTTTAGTCTATAGTGCTGAACAAAATCATTTCAGCTGGCTTCTCTCCTCACTCGTGTTGGCTTGAAGGATGGGTGTTTTTCCCATCTGGTTTCTGAGCACAGTGATACTTCTCTTCTGGATTTGGTTTGGAGTCAGAGGTACTGGTTGAGAAAGAGGAAGTTTTAGGTGGAATTATTAAGTCCTCTGTGAATCACTGAGGAAGTGCCCGTGCAGCTGCTTGCCAGTGTGGGTCTGTGGCCCACACTGACTAGCATGGGAACCGCTGCTCTACATGGCCCAGTGGCCGTCTACCTCCTGCTTCACTAACCTCCGAGGCCAGTCCTTACCCTCCAGAATTTGTGAAACCATAAGCATTCTATTGATCTTAGTAGAATATCCAATTCTCCTTGCCCTGGCCTTCCAAATGCTCCAGAATTTGGATTGTCACTGGTATTAACTAGCTTGGTACATTAAAAAAAAAATTTTTTTTGAGATTTATTTAGAAAGAGAAAGAGTGGGTGCATGAGTTGGGGGGAAGGGCAGAGGCAGAGAGAATCTCAAGCAGGCACGCCTGGAGCCTGACACTGACTTGATCCCAGGACCCTGAGATCATGACCTGAGCTGAAACCAAAAGTCAGCTGCCTAACCGACTGAGCCACCCACATGCCCCCCATTAAAATTTTTTATTGAACGTTTCTGACCTTAATGTCCTCATCTGTAAAGTGGATACGTTCAATTGTTTATTACTTCACTGAGAGTTTGCTGATCATCTAACATATGCAGTACTCTATTGTCTCCAAAACCTTAAAATTCTAACTTTAATAACTGCCTAATGATTCTACTCTTCTGGTATTAATATAACTTTGTTAGAGAAAAACACAAGATGGAAGAATGTGACTAGATGTCATCTTCTTAGACCACAGTCTATTTGCAGATAATTAATGATATGTGTGTTACAGAGAATTAATATAGTATGAAATCAGTTTCCCCATCCTCTCCATAAACTTTTTATTTAAGTTATATGTATTATTGAAATGTTACCAATATATTTAAAGGCTTTTAAAATTAGTTTAGTTCTACCATCTATTTTTATAATTGTATTTGAATAGCTTTGGGTTATAAATCTATAAAACAATGAGCGCAAACTTACTTTGGCTTTGCAGAGCAAAGCAACAAAGTCTGTACAATCAAATTTGCTTAACTTCACCCAAATACACATAAACGGTAGCAACACCCATTCATTTACCCAAAGGAAAAAATAGAGCTGGCTGGAAGACATTTAGGCCTTTCCTACAGCTCTTGATACAATCTCTCCTTGCCAGCTCTGCCTTACAATAGGCCAGGAGAAAAAAAGAAGGAATTAAATAAAAGAAAAAAAAGAAAAAGAACCAATCAGAAGTGGTGTTATATCATCGATTTGGGTATATTCTGATAAAATCACATCTTTTGAACCTTAAAAACAAATTATTATAAAAATTTTTTTTAATCTAATAATCCTATAAGGAAAGACTTAGCCTTATCTGCCCCCTCCTCGAGGCTTTTTCAAAAATGAGAAAATTCCCATTTTTCATAATGATCTACCCTCAAAACAAAATATATATTTATGAAATAAATTGGTACTGAAACAATTCCTTTATAATCACTTTAAAGCTACTAATTGGCTGATCCTAAAAAGCAAATATCCTAACATCATTAATTCTACCAAGTGGCAAAATAAATGAAATAAAACCATATTAAGCAACCAGTGTAACTTATCATTCTAAATGAATCTCCTTTCCCTTATAAAGAATCATATCAGAATCTTAAATTTTAAAAATAATAAAGCTTACTGGCTATTTCCTATTCTTATTCACTCCCTTGAAGACCTTAAGATTCCAGCCTAATTTATTTATTTCAGAGAATATTTAGAATTAGGCAAGAATGTATATGAGCTTTTCTTAAATAAGCTTTGTTAATTTAAAAAAAAATGCTCTGGGTTCAATGATTAAACTTACTCAGTGCTAATCTATTATTACCAGACATCTGCTTTAGTTCCTGTTAAAATAAAACTATGTTGCTATGTAGATTAGAAGCCCATTGTACCTAGGAGAGATTATTAAATTCTTAAAATTTAATTGCTACAAAAAGAAGCATTTCTTGTCTTCTTCAGCTAGTTACTTATTTCTCTGCAAATTCTTAGCATGGAGTTTTGTCAATGAAGTCCCCCCCAAAACATCGTTATAATAATAAATCACCACAAACCCCGATAAAGGTAGCATATATATATTTTTTTTTATTTGCGAAATAAAAAAGATACTTGGTTGAGAGATACGGAGTTTGCACTTTTTCCAGATCTACTTATTTATTTACTTATTTGGATTGATACTTGCCATTTCTGAACTGTTCCAGTTTAAAATGAAGTCTGTTTTTCTGATGCAAAAGTAATTTGAAAAGGTAATATAAACTGCAGACTGTGTTTTTCCTCTTTAAAATCCAGCCCTGCTGGTGGGGGCCCTGAAGAGTCAATAATTAATTGTATCATAGAAATGTGTTCCACAGGGATGGGAGAGATATAAATGGGGTCTTCTACCAGGATATCTTTTTCAAGATTCCCAAAACTTAATTTAAATCCAAATCTCAACACCAAGAGCTCCAGCTAATTTTAATTTCGATGATCTCCCATCAGTTATACATACTGCATACATAACACACAAAATAAGCACTAATTATATTATAATCTGTCTTCCTATACATATTAGTTAGGGAAGTTATGTAAATTCTGTTTTTTGTGAAAATTAAGATACCACCCCAGTAATAAGACTATCTATGCAAATTAAAAACTGAAAAATTAACATTTTTAAATTTTTTCTTCCCACTTTATTATTACTTAACGTAAGATGTATCCAAATAACAAACTAAAGATCTTAATGAATATCGATAATCTCTCTTAAATCCAAAATACAGATAAGCCCATTTCCAATAATCTTTAGTTTAAAATTCAAATTTGAGGGATTTCTTATTAATGAAGTAAAGGACTAAGTCTACTACTAAAACTGCGGCATTTCCCAGCAGGTAAACAATCTTCTTTTATGAATACTTTTAAAATTATTAAATCATGCATTGCTGTTTTGTTTTTTTAGCAGTAGCGAATAATCCTAGGGTTGACATACTAAAATCAAGAAAATGAATGAGGACAAGATGTCGACAATCCATTTCTTTTAAATAGTGAGATGTTTAGCTGTCACTTTCACTGCGGTAAACAATAATTAAAAATCAACAGAACAGAAATTTTTAGTTACAGGTATATGGAAATCATAGAAGAGTATAAAAAAAGAAATGCTTTTGACATGAACATAATTAAATACAGAACTTAGAATGCTTTGGTCAGTTTTATGAATACTTAGGTTTCTGCTTATAACATTAACAGTATGCACAACAAACCCTTTCACTTGTTGCTATTATGTTTCCTTTTAACTTAAAATTATTCATGGAAGGATAATTTTAAAGTTTCAAAAGTAAGTCCTTGAAAATCAAGCAAGACTCATGTAGGAAGCTCTATTTTGTCATACAGACAATGGTCTGCTTCAAATGAGCATAGGCAAACTGTTTCCTTCCTTTTTTCTTGAAATAATATAAACAGATAAAAATATTTCCATTTCTAAAGAACAGAAATGATATGAGAGTTGTATATAGATTGGCTCAATAATTTCAGGCATTGGTTTTTCAATATTTGCATCTAACATTGTAATAAGGCAGGAGAGTTTTAAACTCTTCCCTAAAACTTAATGAGTTAGCAGAAGTTAATAATTTGACTAGTATTTTTTTCTTCCAGATAAAGCTAGTAATAAAAGAACTCAAGCAGAGAGAGTTATTTTTTAATAATTTTTTTGAAAGCCTAACAGGATTAGCAACTTTTCATTTATTAAAGGTGGTTTATTTTTAAAAGAATTTAGAAGATTGATGAGAGCTTCCAGTTAAAGCCTATTAACCCCGCAATTTTTTTTATTAACTCCACACTTAAAAAGAATTATCTCAAGTTCAAATATACTAATAAACACAACCAGCTCATTTCCTGATAACTTAGCACTTAAGTTCGAGTCTAAGATAATATTTAGAATGTATTTGAAAACTTAAATCTATGAGAAATTCTAGAAGGCTGAAACCACACTAAAAATAAAGATAAATCAATTAAAATGAACTGAAGCACTATCAATGTAGAAAACAAGACATAAAAGATATCTAAAAATGTTAATGCCATAAAAATAACTCCTAACAAAAAGAGATGTTAAATTGTCGACTTAAAATACCGAGTGACCAAAATGAAGAAATTATTTTTAGACTTAAGTGTATAGAAAAGCATATCAATTTTTAAAACCATGGTATGTACACACTAAATATTAACTCTGGTTATCATTCAAAGATTCTTATTCAACTTCTATTTTTAAGTGATGGGCATTTAAATTCCTTAGCATTCTGTTTCCTCATGTTTAAGTGAATTTGAATGGAATATCTCCATCATTTGTTCTAACTTGAGAGTCTAGGATTCTTTAAAAAAAAAAAAAAAGTCAAAAGGGTGTTTCTCGGCATGGTATGATTGTTTGTTTTATTCTATAGATGTGTTTTTCCTTAATGCCAACATTTTAATATAGTCTGCATCCTAGAAAAAAAAAATAAAAAATGCTTCCTTGTTTAACCAGAACAACTGACAATGTTGAAGAGGTTTGGGCAAAGTTACAAAGGGATCTTTCATACATAAAGGAGAGCAGGTCATTCTAACATTAACTCTTCCTCGTCTGTCAGAGTAAATACTGCACTCTTTCAAATCCCGGGGTCTTTCCTACTTCTCTGGCCTGGAGTCTCCTCCAAGACATCAAAATCAAGCCTCACCACAACTTCAAGCCTCACCACAACTTTTATTCACCCTGGAAAGTCTTTCCTGACTTACACAGGATGACTCCTAAGTCTCTTTCATGTTTCCATTGTTCCTTGGAATGGAACAACGTATGTCCTTCTTGGGCTTGCCAAAGTCATGGTCAGCATCTGTTATTTCTCTGCCTTTCCACCTGAGGCTTGCCCAGCATGAGTTCAAGGGATACAAGAAAGAGACCAGGCCTCAATCCGGCCTTCATGGTACCTAGCTGATCTTGCATTCAATTGGCGTTAGGAAGGGTTTTCTTGTGGTGGTGGTTGGTTTTTTTAAAAGAACTGAGTGAAGAACACGTGTATCTCTAAAGACATAGATTTGAGACCCCATTGGAACCACTTTCTTCACAATCTAAACATGGCTTTCATAATATATATGTTACTCACCAGGAGAAGTACTTAGAAAAGTGTGGCTAGCTCTAATCAGTTACTGCTTGTGTAGAAATCCATCAGGACTCGACATATCCATGCTAAAACATGTAACTATATAACGTCTCATATAAAATCAGTACACACTTTAATATGATAAATGGGATGTCCAGGAACATATAAAAATAAAATGTTTAAATCCCATCAAGTGATGGCAGGTAATCTTACAGCTCATCAGAAACTTTCTTCAGAAATCTTATCACAGGTGCAATCCCTACAACAATTGCCTAATAAACAGTCAAATGGTATGAAGACATGGAAACAGCAATGGTCACTTACTGTGGAATTATTACGTGCCAAGTGCTGGGCTAGGTGCTTCATATCTATTGTCCCATTTAATCCTTCCTCCGTGGTAGAAACTACTCTTACTCCAATTTTACAGTTAAGGAAACTAAAAATTAGAGAGATTAAGTTGCTGTTGTTCCCAGGGCCACTGATCTGGTTAGTGGCAGAGATGGAACTTGAGCCCATGGATCTCTGACCCCATTCCATGCTCATAGTTGCTACTCTAAATGCTGAAATCCATTTTCCAGTAATAATATACTACTGGCACAATTACTTCATGACCGGATTTGTAAGGAATAGAGGGAATTATCTCATCTGGTTCTATTTGTTAGACATTTGTTTCCTCATTGCTCCAAAAAAAGTATCCAATGTCTATGTCGCCCCAAATGAGGAATATAACTGGTAGACATGACTCTCATTGAAAACGATGATCTCACTGGCAACACTGAAACATACCTTCATTGCATCTCTTTTTGTAGAAGTTGATAGGTACAGACTAAAATAGCTCACTTTTTTGGGTCTTTGAATAACTAAACATGAACTTTTATAGCATCCTTTCTGTATGTATAATACCACCAAGACCTACGGTCTTGTCCTATTATAATCAAAGTATACAGTATCTTTAACAGGAAAGGAAGAAATTTGTTTCCCTCATATTTAGCCTAATCATTTGAGCATTGTTTCTTTGGAGTGGGAGGCTTATTTGGGAAGGCAGTGTAGCAGAATGATTGAAGGAATGTCTTCAGGAAACATCCTCTATTAAACCTAATAATCAAAGTCTAATTACTCATTATACTATGCCAGAATGTGTGTGTGTGCTTGTGTGTGTACTGGGGGGAGGTGCACCCAGGGCACAGGTAGGTTGAAAACATTTCTCAGATGATCTCCACATCACCCTCCATCAAGTTGTCTTCCAGAATCACTATTTCAGAAATCCAAGTGTCAAAAAAGTGTTTGAAGCAGGAGGAGAAGGGATTTTTTCCAAACTGGACTGAATATATAAGAGAGCTACAAAAAAAGAATGGTCAACTAGGCTATGGCAATTATAATCACACTTATATATTAGTACTATCAGTCGTTACTCCAAAATTTTGACAGCATTATTGAATGCATCCCTGTTTCTCTGTGCTCTCTTTTTGCCCCATGCTTTCCCTGCTCCCATACCATCACCGCTCATCATATGTTTGCAATGACCTTCAGAGGAAAGCACTCAGGAAAATAGGGCACTGGCAATTAAACCAACCAGTGGGCAAAGAAAGCTGCTACCATGTCTGAATGGGATTGTTCTCCTGTTTCTAAATAAGAAAAAAAGAAGCATTCAATGGGCTTCCTGTAAACAGCTCCGCTACAGATAAATTACAGTAATTGGTTTTGTCAGCAATGGGCCAGGTGGGCCAATGCCCACCCACTCTAAAACATCTTCATTTGTGGAATGAATTTCTGGGTGGATACTAAAAAACACTGCCTCCTCTTATCACATTTGTACCCATAAATACAATGTTTCAAAAAATTTTCACTATTTTAAATAGTGAGGTTTTCATCACTCCCCTGTCTGCTGCCTTGAAGAGAGCACTAAAGAGGTACTTTTTATTGGATAGGATCAATTCTGGAAAACAAATATTTTAGAAAGAATCTTAAAAATTTCAGTTTTTGCAAATCTCATCCTTGCTAATCTTCACATCCCAGCGACCTTGCCTTCTGTGACTTTTCACAAGCAGATCACAGTTATTCAGTGACCTACATAGAAACCAGGAATTGTATAGAGGAGCAACAGCCCTGGGCCACTTCCAAGTAATTAGCCTACTTCTCAGAGCCTGGGACCTAACAAAGATGAGCAAAGTGGCATCTTTGAGTACTGAGACAAACTGTAGGATTAAGCCACTGCTCCTGATTCCTCTCATTAAGCTGGGAAAATACTGGGTAAAAGGCACACGTTATTTTTTAAACACTGACCTGCTTTGTCCTGGGAGTCATCGAATTCCACATTGAAAGAGTGACCGTTGTTGATGATCCTGCGAGAAACCGCTTGCTCATAGGAAGGAGACAAAGCCTTCAGGGCAGGGTCGTGAATGGCTGCTTTGGTGTCGATGTCAACAGGGGACTGGCGCTGTCCCTTGGCAATGGGGAAGTCCTTATACCAGTGCTCGGGTCCTAGTGGTCAGAAGAGATGTGTGAATCCCCCAGTGTGGGGAAGGGTACAACCAGAGCCCTAGAAAGGGGTAATGATTCTGGAGCCAATGTGATCCATTCCAATTTTGGTGGCCCCACTTAGCTGAATACCTCTGGGAAAACAATGTGTGCCTCAGTTTCATCATTTGTATTATGGGGTCATAACATCGGCATCGGAGAAGTTGTGAGAACTGGAATCAATACATGAAAGGTCATTGAACAGAGTGCCATATAAATATTACCTATTTTTACCCTCATTTTATTGAATTAGCAACTGAAATTGGGCAGACACTACCGCAGGGCTTGTGGTTAGCATGTAGGATATTCAAGCTCATTTAAGACCTTGGAGCCGTTGGGATTTCTCCCTGGAGTCCTCCTACTGAATGTGAAGGCCAGTCACTGCTCAGACCCGGGCACCTCTCTTGTGAAGATCAGGGAAGCCCCACGCCACCCCCAGATGCGCAAGGGGCGCCAGACGCATCTTTCTTTTGCGTCGGTTGGCTCTGGAGAACCCAGATCAGTAGCCATGATAAACCCGGGTTCCTGGTGACCCCCTAACATTAAGAGATCAGAGATGATGGGTAAACTCAGAAATCACCGCGATGGATTCAAACCAGCCCACGAAAATGCCCCGGGTCAGTTTGTGCTGAGCGCCTTAGCCACAGGTGGTGCTGAGAATGAAGTGTGTAGGGGGAAGGGAGGGTCCCCTAATTTTTCTGCAATCAACAACTAAAATTTTCCAGTTACAACCCTTCCTCGCTTCCTCGTTAGGATAGTCTCCGCTCGGGACCCGAGGGCAACTGTCCTCCAGTCCCAAGGCTGAGGCTGCGCTCCTCCTCCCTCCCGCCCTACGCGCCACCGCTGGACGCGGGGATTCCTCGACAGTGACCCCGGGGGCTGGGGCAACGAGGGCATCCCAGCGACAGGGAGCAGCGGGCGGGGCAGGCTCGGGGGCACACCTTGCCTCTGGTGCTCCGACTAGCCGCGGTAAACAGCAGGTGCGGGCGCTGCGGGGCCGGGGCCCCGGCCGGGGCCGACATTGGGGCCCCAGGTGCCGCCGCCGCCGCGCCGCCCTCCTGCTGCACTCACCATTGTGCTTGCCGTATCCCCAGTGATGGGCCATGGTCGTGCGGCTGGTCGAGGCAGGGCAGGATTTGGCGCCGTTCTAGAAGCGGCTGCTCCTCGGGCGCCTGCACCGTGTGTCCGCGGGTCGAGCCGTCACCGGCTTTTATAGGCTCCCGCCAACTTCGCGTTTCGGGGGCGGCCCGGGGGAGGGAGCCCCGGGTGGACCTGGATGAGGGGAGGAGGAGGTGACGGGCGGAGGTGATCTCCCAGTGCTTGGGGCGGGTCAGGCGGGCGAGGTACCGGGGGCGGGGAGAACGCCCTCTCGGCGGGCGCTCTGCTGGGCTCAGGACCTCCTCTCCTGCCCCCCGGCTCCCCTCGGCCCGCGGCCCGGGCCCCGGGTCCCTGGGCTGGCAACGAGGCTCCAAGCTCTGGGCGCGCGTGGCGGCGGCGGCGGCGGCTCCCGGGGTCCTGGATGGGACTGGGGCTGGCAAGCGTCTAGGAGCACCCCATCCCCCTCCTGGTGCGGAGTCTGGCGGCCGCGCTGACTGCTCGGGACCCGGGCCCCTGGTTCTTTTCATCCGTCGTCCGCATTGTGATCGCATCCCCGGCCTCAGAGCCCTCCCGCCCCACCCCCTTGACCCCACCAGCGCCGGGGTCTCCAGCCCCGAGGGTTTACTGCCGGGTGTCCCCGGCCGGGGACTGGCAAGCTAGGTTAGGAGCTATGACCTTGGGGCAAATAGGGATACGGTCCTTGAGGCTCTGGGGAGCGAGCAGCTTCGGGTACCGAAAGCCACGCGCCCCCTGCTGCACGGCCGTGGAATAAAGCGAGCAAGAGGAGCGAGAGTCTCTTCTGCCCTTCGTCCACAGAGGCGAGCATGGGATATTGCATTTCCTTGATGCTGTCAGGGCTGTCAGAGTATAGTATGAAGAAGGGCTTATCTCCTCCCACTTTCCTCCTTCTCTTTAAAAAATTAACTTTGGGGGAGAGACTTCCTCGCTGAATACATATTAATTTAAAACTTGTCCCCCAAAACTTCTAAAACAAATTCCTTTTCTCAGAGAAATTAGGTAAAAGCAAGCATTTCTTGCGAAGAGGTGGGAACTTTCCCTAGCTGAAAAAGGAACTTGCCATCTGGAATACGTAAGAAATAATTTTAAAAAGAGAGAGAGAGAGAGGATTTTTTGAGGCAAAATGGGTCCCCTTCTTCCTATACCTACACACATATATTTATGGTTATATTGAAATGAAGATTAATATTTTAACATTATGTATTTCAACATTTTCTTTGATTTTTTTTTAATGGTCTGACTTGAAAAGAAAAATTTCTATTGACATCTAAAAGGGTTGTGGGCTTGAAGCACTGTCCTTATTATACCTAATAGATAAGTCAGAACTGTTTGGGGGGAGGGGGCAGAATTCATTTCCTTCAAAGGACTTTGCCACAAAAATGGGAGGAGGATTTTCTGTCTTGTGGATCTCTGTGATCTTTGAGAAAAACAAATATGATTCATGTTTAGATTTATCTAAGAATCTAGAATCTAAGAATCTAGAAAAGTGTATACCTCTGGTTTTGCAGGGAGTTCTCTTTGTTGATATCACAGTGAATTTTTAGGCAAGAGTAACAATTAACTATTTTGGTTTCTAGGACCATCACAAAATGTAGTTTATAGTTAAGAAAAACTTTTTATTTATGGCTCTGTAACTACATAGACTCTCATGGGGCTCAGTGAAATAAATCCTGATTCTTTGCACAATTTTAGGATATTTATTTAACTCAAAAGGAGAGGGCCTTGCAGTTGCTATGAGCCTCTTCTCTAGGCCCTGGTGATGTAAAATTGACAAGTACCAAGAGTTGAAAGTTGAGTAAAGTGAGTTCTAAAGGTTCTGTGATGGTACCCAGGCTATTAGGCTGGCATCCTTGCTTTGTCAATTTCTGCAAAGCTGGAGCCCCAGGACACAAGTGGTAACTACCCATGAATTCTCTTTGAAATTATGGTAGTCACTAATCCAAATGGAGGTAACCTTAGTTTCTCTTTACATAAGTCAATCACTTAACAAATAACATTGTGCTGAAATTAGACTTACTTTTGAATCTGGGCTAAATCAGTAGTCTTCTGACCTTGGACAAATTGCAAGGTCTTGCAAAGATTCAGATTTAGTACAGTGCCAATAATTAGAGATTGATGAACATTGGTTATCATTATTACTATTACACATTTTTGAGCTCCAATTACATGCCTAACTTTTTAGGTAAGACATAAGTTGTAAAAACTTTAGTCATCTCTCCATTCATTCATTCAACAAATCTATCAAGTACTATAAAGTGCCAGGCATCAGCCCAGGGGGTACAGCCATGAACAAGATCAACAGGATCCTTGGCTTAATGGAACTTACATGGAGATGGATGGGATTAGTATACAATAAATAAAAAAGCAACAAAAAAGTGAACTTCCAACAGTGGTGATTACTACAAAGAAAATAAAACGAATGAGGTAGAAAATTATAGGGGGGGATATTCCTTTAGATGCAGTCAGTGGTTATGGAAACTGTAGTGAAGGAAGTGTCATTTCAGGAAAGATCTAGGGAAAGACATTTCAGGCAAAGGAAACAGTAAGTGTAAAGGCCCTGACTGAGGACATTTCTGGAACAGAAGAGTTTGTGCCGGGAGCGTAGTGAATGAAAAAGAGAAAAGTAGGTATAGGCCAGAATGAGAGAGCAGGGGCTGCAGGCAGCAAAGGCTTGAGACTGTGATACCAGGAAGGGTTTGATACCAATTAATTACATAGGGAAGCCACCAGGAAGCTGTAAGAAAGGGAATGATACAAACTGCAACAATATAGCGTTTCAGAAGGAAAGGGAGTTGAGAGATTTATGTGGCCCAATTCTTCATTCTATAGATGAGGAAATTGGCAGAAGTTCCCAGAATGCTCCTTGCTATTCCCCCACCTCCTTGCTTTTGATCATCTGACGATGACCTTTCACAAAATGATCCAGACTCCAATTCTTGACATATAAATCCACTTTAATCCAGCCTCTGGCTTTCCTCTCTCAGCCTCTGAGTTTCTGGACATTCTTCTGCAATGGGATGGGAGAGAATATCACATAGTTGCTAAGGGCTAAGCTTTTGTGAGTTTGGATTCAACTTCTAGGACTTATCTTCTATATAACCTGGGATGATTTATTTCGGAAGCTCTCCAAGCCTCAGTTTCAACATCTGAAATGTAAAAAAAGGTACCTTGGGCTGTTGAAATGTTAAATGGACTAATTTGTGTGATTCTGTCATGTAAATTAAGCCTGATGCCTGGTATGCCACTAGCTGCTCTGTTAGGATTCTTGTTCTTGCAGCAGAGATGTAGAATTTTGTGATGGGGATCAACTTTGCAAGAAGACAGACCTGAGCTCAGATTCTAGTTCAACACTCCTTAGGCAAGCTAGGTAATCTCTCTGAACTTCACTTCCTTATTTGTAAACTAGGTGGGAAATTCAAGCTGTGGATCATTATGATAAGAACTAATATGTGGAAGATACCACTTATGGTTTTTTAAAAATTAAATAAATAACATAATTATTATTTAGTACTTTCCATTGTAAAATAATAGATTGGCTTTTCTGTTTCTCTAGCTTACATGAAAAAAAAATCACATTTGCTTCCTGATTTTCGGAGTTCCTACTCTTAAAAAAAAATAGCACTTACTGAAAACTGATTACGCTTCAGGCACGGTTCTAAATGTCTCACACAGGCTTACGTTATAGCTAGGGATGCTGAGGCATAGATATAAGTCAGTTTACCCCAGGTGTCCACTAGGAAGTGATGGGCCAGGTGTGTAACCAAGTGGTCCTACTTAGAAGTTGGAACTCTTAGAGATGAGCCTCACTGAGGGCAGGCTACGTGCCTTTAAGGAGTGTGTAAAGTCTCCTTCTCTTGCCCTTATAGTAAAAATGCCTTAGGATTTTGTCTGCAACACTACTCTGTAAAACAGAAAAGTTATCTCAACCTGCTGCTCATTTTTAGGGTTTCCTACCAAACCCCTTCTAACCATTAAAGTGGCAGGAAATAACATTAACTCTGTACCTAATGAACAGATAAATTCACTTTCCTTAGTAAACTGCTTTTCAGACAAAAAATTTAGTTCCTCGATGTGTCTTTGTTTTTTTTTTTCATGACAACTAGTAGCATTCAAACTTTCCTATAAGTAATTAAATTCATTTAGGTTTTAAGAGTCATTGGGGAATTCAAACATCGCTACCAAGTTTCAGTTTCAACTGGAGCTAGAATGGAAATATTCAGTAGGACAATTACAGGAAAAAAATGTAAATTCTGCATTTTAAATATTTTATGGTCCAGGATAGCTACCACATGTGGCACCAAGAAATATTCAGTTTAATAAGAATAAAAGTCTATCTCATCTTAGAGCATTGGTTCTCATGATGCTCTCATGCATCATGGGGGGCAGTTTTGCCCCACAGACAATACAGACAATGTCTGGAAACATTTGGATTGTCACGACTAGGGGTATGCAAGCTGGCATTCAGGAATGTTGCTAAACATCTTACACTGCACAGAACAGCCCCTTATAACAAAGAATTAATCCATCTAAAGTGTTAATAGGACCAAGATTATGAAACCCTGCCTTAAGAGTATCTACAAGGTTAGGCTTTTGTGGACAGTTTAAAAAAAGAGTTATATTTGTGTCCAGCAAAATAGGAGCCCTGGGATGGTGCTTTGCCCATAATATGCCCTCACTGATTTTTTTTTTGGGGGGGGGTGGTTAGACTAGGCAGAAAAAAAAAAATCCCACCCTTGTACCTTAAGATCATTGTTTCTTCGCTTTGCCTCAGCCTATTTCCAGTGATGGCTTTCCTACCAAAATCGTGATCGCTTGATTTTGTTAATAGTAGCTTTGTCACATGATTGAATTTCTCTTCTGCTTATACATCACCATGGTGTAGGTGGAATTTGTTTTACTTCCTTTTAGAAACAAGAACAATCGAACATTTTCCATGCAAGGGGAATTATAGGCATTACAAGTAAGTTTTTCCTCCTGACCAAGGGCAAGCATCAGGAGTCACCAGTGTCATAAACTAGAGGCAAAACATACTTTCCCTCCCCAAGTTTTCCTCTTCTACCTCCTTCCTCAGCTAATCCCCCCTTTGGTGAGACAGTGGATGAAACAGTGGCCCAGCTCCGTGTGGAACCTTAGAACAGAAGAAAGTTGCCAGCTGGCCAGAGACTGTATAACCTGATCTTGTCAGCAGAAGGTTCCAAACCATCTATCTCCACGGCGCAATGCATCAACCCCAGGGGGGCACATAAGAGGCCACTCCCTGGCAGGAGGAAAATGTAAGCACTACTATTTTTAGTTATTTTTTCACCCTCTAAAAATGTCTCCTTTGCTTTAATATATATAATAGTGTGTATATAATCTATTTTTAGAAATCATATATTGGGGATTCCTTCCCTCAAACTATGTCTTAGTGGCCTACATCATCCAAAGGGAGTATGGAGGGGTGCCTGGGTGGCTCAGTGGGTTAAGCATCTGCTTTCAGCTCAGGTCAAGATCCCAGGGTCCTGAGTCCTGCTCAGCAAGGAGCCTGCTTCTCCTTCTCCCACTCCATCTACCTTTCTCCCTGCCCAAGCTCACTCACTCCGTCTCTGTCTCTCTCAAGTAAATAAATAAGATCTTTAAAAACAAACAAACAAACAAACAAACAAAAGGAGTATGAAGTCCATTGCTGGCCTAGAGGCCCAGGTGACCTAGAGCCTTGTTTTGTGGGTTGCCTATAACCTTGGTTCTACTATCTTCTCCCTCTTTTGAATGGCGCCGATATCGCTATTGAACATATATTTCGTGCCCAGTGTGCTGGGTACCGTGGTCATGCCTGATAAGCCCTTCC